AACAGAATATCAGGTATCTCGAAAGAACAATTATGCATTTTGCTTGAAACTGTAAACTTGCCATATGAATCAACACAACAAATAAAATATGAACTTTTATGTTAAATGGAATATAAACAAAAGTAAATTTAGTCATAAAACATATAATTATTGGTTTATCTATAATAAAATAATATTCAATCACCCAAAAATTAAAAAGATATCAAAACAACCTTGATGGTATGAACTAGAGAATATGCTAATTAGTTAGTATGATGTTATAGGCACCTTATATATTATATTCTGTAATAGCAAAAGTTAACATTGTCTGGTATTTAGTACAGATCACATAAGATACGATTATATATAACTTAATCTGGAATCAATAGAAGCCATAACTAAAAATATCAGGGTAATATTCAAAGTAAAAATTTATTAAAATTTATTAAAACATATATATATATATATATATATATATATATATATAATATAAGTATATAATAATAAAGATTTTAAAATTTATCTATATTCACTTCCTCAAAATTTTTGGATTTAAAATAATCAACAGCTCTTTTAACATTTTCAGGTGGCAAATTATGCAGCAAATGAGTTCTAGTTAATAGACTTTCAATTCCATCTATACAATATGTAGAGTCACTTGATATATGTTGTGCAATTGATAAGCCACTTAGCGTGTAACATGTATGATAAAAGTCTCTTGGTTTGCCAGGTTTATCTATCAATCCCCCTCGAGGACTTTGGCAAGCCATTAAAATATATTCTTGTAAACAACTATGATCAAATAAAATTTCTTTTGCCAATAAACTATTTTGAATTGTATCAATACTTTCAAAATTTTCCAATATGTTTTCACTACTTTGATTTTGTAAGATCAAAGATTGAATTATTGGAACAGTTGCACCTTGCCAAAAAGAATAGCACCCATCCACTAGTTTATTAGTTCGGCCTTGGAAGCCACCTTCAAGCCTCATTTGTCGATTCACAGTCCAACGAAGTAAATTTTGAAGATTGCATGTGCTCGAGTTATTTAGAAGAGCAAGACCTGCAGCCCCACAAATGAATAGCCACCATGTGCCTCATTGCCAGGTGAACTAGCAAAGCCTCCTTCATAGGTCTGACAACTAGCAATCCAGTTTGCAGTGTTTTCAAATAGTTTTGGATCCTCAATTCCAGACAATTTTGCTACTGCAATTGCACAATATGCCCCCCTAATATCCAATTCCCCATTTTCATGGAGACAAAAACCACCATTACATTCCCTAACAGTTAATAAGAAGTTATGAAGACTTGTTCGATCTATTGTTTCATAGGCCTGTGGTGTACCTATTAAAACCAAGGCATTCACTGCAGCGTAAGTAGAAGCTAAATGCGGCATCTGATATGGACCTCCACAAAATCCTCCTTTTGGATCTCTGCATTTCTCAAGAAACAAAACTACACGGTTTTGTAGATCCAGTGAAAATTTATGTCCAAGCAATGTTGCTGCATTCAATATCCAGAACACTAACCAGGGCCGACTCGAGTCGAGACATTCATAGCTTGTTGATAAATAGCTCAGAGAGTTTGCAAGGAACTCTATATGAGTTTGTCTCTTGAGTAAATTCATATCAGGTTCTATTTGCAATCTTAATGAGTAATCATAAAACATTTTGGCAACATCATTTTCAACCAATTCCTGTTCCTTTGATGTATGTGTGACATGATTCTCATGATTAAATTTTTGCTCTCGCACTTCATTGCACGTTCGTACAGAGTTCTGTGTATTTCTTCCAAATGGATTATTAAACATTTTCTGTCCTGCCAATCAAGAATGTATAATTTCAGCTATAACCTTCATAGTTTCATTATGCTGAGAGCTCATTAATATAAAAATATTTTTCATAATTACATGTAATTGACCAGTAAGAATGTGCAAAGGTTCATAATCATTTTCACTTATAATCATATATATATATATATATATATATATATATATATATATATATATATATATATATATATATATATATATATATAATTTCAAATCGAACAACTTGTTAAGTCAATTCATAATCAGGAATTAGTGTATCATCAACATTGCCAAAAGTTTGTTACTTCATATCAATTTTGCAGTTACAGAATTATCTGAGCAAAAGAGACACTAAAATAATTTGCCTCTAACATAAAAGTAACACGTTTAAGAATAAAAAATCAGATCACATTTTAAATACAAAAGACGTATCATATCAAATATTGTTATTTGTAAAAATTCACTTACGTCCTATCGTAGCGCTATCTGTCATCACAGTACGATAGAGCAATAATACATTTGCACTTCGAAATAAAATATTGTTAAAAATGTTTATGCGAAAATTAAAAATAATCTCTCAAGTGAATTCATTAAATTCTTTTGTTTACAAACGATGTAGTACTGCTATTGATAAAACACTCGAAAAAACAATGAACGCACAAGATGAAGTGAAAAAAGCTCAGAAAACCAATTATGCACCAGGGACTTCGACAATATTTGATAAAATATTATCGAAAGAAATTAAAGCTGATATTATATACGAGGACAAGTTATGTATGGCTTTAATGATGTTAATCCTCAAGCACCCGTACATTTTCTAATTATTCCCAAACGAAAGATTGCGAAACTGGAACATGGCGGACCAGATGATGTAGAGGTTAGAATGAGTTTACACTTTTGATTAAATTAGAAAAAATTAACTACTATTTTTTTACAAGATATATTTATTTACCTGCTTTGTATGAATTAAAGTGCATAAAATTTATCCAAAATTCGACGAAAACTGCTTGCTAATAATTGTTTATTGTTCAACTAAACTGACACCGATTCAACTATGCTTTTGAGTTCTCCATGAGAACGCTTGTGTTTGTTACTTTACTAATCGTATAACTTGCCTTGTCATGTCGTAACTTCAGATGGTCAAGTTTGTATCACATCGCATTGTGTTCGCTGATTTTAAATTACGATTTTATTATAGAAAAACTTGATAATTTAAAGTTATTGGCTATTTCATGATTATTTTTTCATTGTGATTTAATAAAAATAATTTAGAAACAATGGACGGATTGGCGCAAATGCATATTTTGAAACGCATTTTCTAACCAAATCCAAAGACTGTTTTCGTTTGTTCGTTTAACATACTTCGTTTTATATAAACCATATTAAAGTATTTCTTAAATTAATTTACGATTTAATATTTTCATACAAAATGCACGAAAACAAATCTCTATTAATAGAATATTTGCATAAGAATTTCAACATTTAAAATAATATTTACAATACAATTAATTAGTTCTATAATAAAATTATTTTTAAACATAAGTATTTATGAAATTATTTTCCAGAAACTATTAGCTTTTTTAATTACTTTTTATGCTATAATATGCTTCAAGTTAATATTTAAATACTGTATAATTAATTGTAAGGCAAAAATTGAATTCTAAATAAATTTGTAATTTTTTACATTAAGATTACTCTTTATCTAAATTACACTCGTGATTTAAATTTATTATTTCTAAATCTATCAAACAATAAATTTTGCTCTTTTCTTAAATTCAAGTAATAAGATATGTTTATGAATTGCACTTTAGTCTGTTGTATGTTGCAATATACAGTGTAGATTATACACTCACGCCGGGAAAGCTAATATAGCTAAATAAGGATTATTGTCTCTCTTGGTAAGTCTCCCAATTCTGGGGCGATAACTACCATTTGATTACCGTAAGATCGCAATTTACAAACCTGAGAGATTATTTTGACGTCTAACATACATGTAGAGTTAATAGCTATACGAATATTCATTGTGGATACTTTTATACAATTACATTTATATTATGATTTTTTTATAATAATTAGATTTAGAATCAATAAGGTGATATTGCTGTAAATGAGCAATTAGAAACTTAATTGTTGCGTACCATTTTTTTATTAAATAAATTCTAAATGAATTCTAAATAAATTCTCTATAAAATGCATTATATTTTAATAGAATTATTGATAAACTTATTTTATTTAATTCAAGCATTGAATTATGATAAATATGTGCATATATATAATTATTTTGTATATTTTTGATTTCTCAGTTATTTGGTCATCTAATGTTACAAGCAGGATTCTTGGCAAGAAAAAAGCGCCGAACGGTTTTCGAGTTGTTATAAACAATGGGAAAGATGGGGCTCAATCAGTTTATCATTTGCATCTTCATGTTATTGGAGGTCGTCAAATGAAGTGGCCCCTGGCTAATATTTTATGCCATTTATAGGTCAACATAAAACATGTATATATTCAAAAATATATAATATGAAGTAATAATTCTATTTTGTATGTATTATTTCATAAATATATATACACGATCACATACAAAAAAAATCTCTACATTATACATTATCTGAAAAACATTTATAACATTTTTGAGTAGCAGTATAACAGTTTAATATTATACTGTTGGTTGTTTATATAAAAAAGTTGGTTTGTTCATATACAAAAGTATCATCCTACTATTCTTTATGAAAAACATTTATACATTTTTCAAGTAACCATTTAATATATAAGCACAACTTTTGGTTGTTATACTGCACATATCAGCAAAATCACAAAAATCTTGATTTGTTCTCTGAATTTCAATGAACTTATCTAATGGACATAAGAAATTGTTAGATGAACATTCAGGAATCTTCATTGGCTGTTCTTGATGTAACAGGAGTATGTAAGGATTTTTAGAGTTATCACACTGAAATATAAAAAAAATTATTCAAGTATAGAAATTTCAGACTAGTATGATAATAATTCATAAAACCTTACCTATGCATAAAACTAATAAATAACATACATTGTTAATTTAAAATGTTTTCTTTTTATTCAATTATCTTTTAATTGAATTGAGCTTCTTCTGCATGAATAAAAAAATATTTGAAGATGTTACTAATTTATTGAAACAAACATTACCTATATTTAACAAAACCTATATTGGATCCAAATGCATCGATCTTGCTTACTCTCCATTGTCTATCAGGTTTATTTCATGGGTTAAATGTTCGGCATCTTTATACAAACCCAAGTGAGCAATTAATTTTAGTATTGTTCCAGAATGCGTGAAATAAAAAACTGATTGCGGTATTCCAACACTACAATAATATAAATAAAGACAATAGATAATTGATTCTTAATATGGATTGTAGAATATAATCTTACTCAAATAAATGAAGCATATCTCTTATCATAACACAAGCTTGTTCATGCGTTAAGTTGAAACCGTATCCATCAATCCAATAATATTCCAAATCTTCTGCATATTCCAAAACCTATTAAAAAGTTATGTAGAAGGTAATATAAAAATCAGAAATAACATGAGAACATAATATGATTGAAATGTTGAATTTTCTAATTTAAGCTTTCAATGTAAAATTTATAATTTGATTCTTGTAGATATAAAATATACCTCGAATTCAGAAATTGTGAATACTGAACACCAAGCACCTTTTCTGTCATCATTCCAAGCAGTTTCAAAGGCGCAATAGGAGTACATGTAGAAAATATCTTCTATACAAGAATACATTAAAGTATTTTAATGAACAAATTAAATAGATGTATATAAAAACCAGAAAACTAAAGATTTTTTTGTAAAAAAGGAGTAAGCAATGATCAATAAAGACCAAATTTATTGAAATATATTTGATTATATAAGTATTTATTGAAATACTTACCAAACTCTAAATAATTTACTGGCAAACCAAGTCTCTCAGTAACGGTTCTTATTAAATTCTTCACAAGATCACTTTTTTCAAATTTATTTCTTTCTTTCACACTTTCTGGATTTTTGTCAATATCGAATTTCCATTTATTACAGCATTTGTAAAACTAGAAAAAGACGAAGTCTAAAACAAATATGCAAAACATAAATGAATTTAAATAATCTTTGATTTATTGACTTAAATTTAATTTATAAATAATACAATATATATATATATATATATATATATATATATATATAAAAACAAAATAGTAATTACCCTTAATATGGGATCTTTGGATAAAGGGCTGGGATACCATACTTGACTGCTGTTAAATAATCCAAAGATGCCTTTAGCAAACCATTGCGCACTTTGTTCTGTTCTTTGACTTTTAGTATATTTAAACTGCAAAAAATTTAATATAAAATTAGATGTGAAATTAATGAATATATGTGGTAATAGCAATTGTAGGTAATTACCATATATGATGAATTTGAAAATGATGCAGGAAATAGTTCAGGAAGTCGCTGTCGCATTCTATTAGATAGTTCCATTAACTCTTTTTGCCCTCTTTTGTAAGAAATTTTTCATTTCCTAGTAAATCACTAGGTGCTTTCCATTGCTGGAGATTCTTTGAATTTTCGAAACATAATGTTGCTAAAAATGTAGGACTCTTATCTTATTTGAATAAAAAAAACTGCATGAAGAATTACTATGAATATAAGTATCAATAACTGTTAACTATAATAATTTACCCTTGAACACATTCAGATCATATATACATACATACATATATATATATACACACACATATATATATATATATATATATATTATATATATATATATATTATAGAGATATTACATGGTTTCGTATGAACAAAATTATCCATTTGGAAAAGAGAGCAAGATCAGAAAAAAAATTGAATGAAAGATTGCTGATAATGAGAAAATTTTTGATCAATAATTAATGAAAGTTAATGAAAAAATTGAAAAAGGCAATGATAAATCACAAAGAGATTATGTCACACTGTTACAGTGCAAGTCCTCATACATCTTTGTAAAAAACTAATGCAATTTAACTAGCAACTAAAATATTCACTAATAATGATAAAGCAAAACCATAAGAATAAGTGGCTTATAAATCAGCTTTTAAACTAATCATGAGTCAAAAATAAATTATGTTTATTTTTTTGTAAAATACTGAGCTTTACTTTAGATTATAAAACATAAAATAATTTTTTCCCACCTATCTATGATAAATTTCATAACTTCCTACTGATATAAATGTGAATAAAATAATTTTAAGATTTAATTTGAAGCAAAAATTAAATGGTTAAAGGTAAATCATTTGGCTTTATTGATGGTTATTGATAAATTTCAGTCATTGTCTAAAGTGTCATTGAGCAACTAATAAAATTAATATATTGTAAATACACAAACTAATACATTATTGTTAATGCATGTAATATAATGAAACACAAACAAAAGTAAGAAAACTGTAAGTTCAATTGCTTGCTACAGAACTAGTGCACTTAAATTTCAATAAAATAAATGTACATACACACATACATTATAAGAACTTTACCTTTCTGTTATATTTAATACATAATTGATAAATTGAAAATGTATGTGTTAAATTCTGATTCTTACATTTCGAAAGATTCTCCAGAAACTTTTGTTGAATTTGAGTCAAGCGATCTAAAGCTCTGATGTATTTCCCACCGGGATTTCTAGTTCCATGTCTAATGACCATCCCAATTTGTCGTGGTGTACATCCTATTAGATAATTTTATTTTATTTTAATCGAAAAGTAATGACATTGGAGTACATACCTGGAAATGTCAATTTGGAAACATTTTTATTTTCAACAAATCTATATGGTGTTTTAGTAGCTAAATGAAATGAAAATTTTCATTTTTAACATCATTACAGTTATTGTTGCACCAGGTAAATGGAATTATAATGGATAAACAAATAAAAATAATTATATTCATCGTGCGTTTTTAAATTGTTGTTGGGCACATGTTGCTTATCTGTCAAACGTCAGAAGAAGCAAAAACTTCAGTTCTGAAAATAGCAGAGATGTTTCGTATATTGAAGTCTAGATGCCACCAAATTTCACACCGAAGTTGCAATTTAACAAATTTCATGCATTTAATAAATGCAATGTAAACGGCACA